ACATTGCCCTTGGCATCCAGCTGCTTTGTTAAACCCCTGAATGTAACTAAGCTTCAAAAACCCCATGTTGTTAAGTAGACAGAATGAATGGCTATGCAATGGTCATCAAGGAAGATAGTGAAACTATGGCCTGCATTTTCCAAAGTGACTAGTAATTTAGGGTAGCCAACTAAAGCCGCTTCAAAAAAGAAAAGGTCAAAGACCTGCCCACATTTATGTGGCCCACTGAGCTAGAAGAATTAAGTAAGGTATGCCAGTTTTTGTCCAATGACACACAATCGAGTAATGTGCTAAGCATTATATCCAATGCCTTTTGCCATCCCATTTAGAAAAACCAGGTACCTGTTTACAGCTGGTTTGACTGCAGGTATCATTTGGCACAAGTGCAACAGGTGCCCCAAACTTACACCTTTAGATCCACAGCTACACGCCTGAACCATTCTGCCCTTTCACCCCTTCAAAGACTTTTTAAAGCGGTGTAATTTTCAGAAAGTACTGAGACACATACTAAATAAAATGCAGGCCATTTCAAAGTGTCCCAAGCTGAACGAACAGGGTGCTTCTAGACATGCACAGACACTGCTCTGATATGCTGTAATTACAGCATGTTGGAGAAGATTTGATTAATCAAGTCTGCTGGACCATGCAAATCAGCATGCTCCAGCAGTCTCCACATCTTGTGTATCCAGTGTCCTTGAGCTTCAAAATGGCAGCTGGGATACTTTAACTAAAGCTCGGCGAACAAACTTTAAGGTGCCCCTGCCACCATTTTGAAGTGTGAGACACTGAATCCATGAGAGTGGCTCTTGGAGCTGCTCTAATTAAAGTGCCTCCCCCCACCTCAGCCCTGGAGCACATGTAAAGACATCCACAAAGACTGAGGCCCAGAAAACCATCTCACTGGAAAATGTAGAGTTCTAACTCAATAACTTGTTCAAATCACTAGATCATGTAATTGTCTTATGTGATAAAAGACAATTTATATGATAAAATCCAAGTTACCCCCTTTTAAGTTATTTTTAAATGGTCAATATTGTTGACCCCCCAGTGCTCCAAGGGGAGCCAGAGTCAAGAAGTTTGATGCTAAACAGCCCCTTTCTTCCCAGCAAAATGAATATTTCCAATGGAGTGATCATACAGCAAACTTTGATTGAAATTCTGCATGAACGGATATGGCTAGGAAATAAAGGAGAAGACAATGCACATAACACATCACACAAATATATCTAGATATACTCAATAATCAAGTAGCAGTTTAGTAAACACAAGAATCTTGTAACTTAGTGCTACTTGACTTCCTCATTCTAAAATTCCTAACAGACAACAAACCCATCAAGAAGATCTTACCCCAAACCAAAGACTAAGTTGTAAGAGGTATGAGATGATCAGAACATCTTCAGATAGGAACTTCAATAAAGGATGCAGGAGGAATACATCTTAGGGTATAACTAAATGTCACCAAATTAAGTGGGTCAGCTGTGCCAGAATGTGTCCGCTTCATTGGGCAAAACGTGTCACCTGTTGTCCTACCCACTGATCCTGCGGGACAATGGGTAATGTGTTTCCCACTTGCAGAGACCTGCCCCAGGGAATCTCTGAACTGCATCTCTGCAAGTGAGGAAAGCTGACTCTTTTGCAGTTCCAGGACTGAGACTGCTGAGACTGACATCCCCAGACCTGGGACAACACTGGAGCAAGTTCGACACCCCCAGGTTGTGCAGTCCTGGAGCTGGAGCCTCCTATCAGCTGTGTGGCAGTCTCAGCTCCAGAACCACAACAGAGTATTGACATGTGTCAAGGGAATTCCAAACCAGGGAACCCAGGGATGCCAGCCTTCCCAGGACACCGGGGGATCAATCCTGCATACCCTGGGAACTGCAAATGAAGGAGTTCCTGCCTGGGGTGGTTAGATAGTATGGGCAGCTTCAGCCTGCCTGAACTCTCCTGCCTTAAAGCAAAAAGGACATTGGCCACAAAGCAGAGGCACAAAATCATACCACCTGTGTCATGGGCACAAATTTTGGGCAAGGACCTTTGTTTGCTTGGACTTTGTGCTGCCATCATTTTTTTATGGAAGCACAATGGTGACATGTGTTTACATCCTTAGATTACTGATCCCTCTTTTATCCCTCTCCTCAGTAAAAGCTTACAACATTACTTAATAGAAACTTTCACAAATACAGTCAGAAAGATGATGTTCTTCTGTCATTCTTTTGGTCAAGGTAGAACACACTCATCTGAATACTTAAACAAGATTAGACATCCTAAACCTGATTAAAACTGACTTTAACTTCTTTCAAGAAGTTTCTCTCATTGGGGACATAGTTCCTTTTTATATTACTTCCCTTAATGTAACTTACATTAACCTAACAATACTTAAGGCCTATTAAATCACCAACCTATAAATAAATTTAACCTGACGGTCTACAAAAATAAAAAAATGCATTTTACATTTTTAAAGGAAAGTGTTTAAGCATAAGGTAAACTAGCAGTATCAGTTCATAGCTCCATCTTCCTGTTGACTGCATTACATTGTAGTTAGAAGATAATGCTGGAGATGAAGGCTGAAGATGAATTATGACAGTAATAGTTTAAAAACTGCAATTTCAGAAACTTATACATGTCAGATTTAAAAGTAATTTAGAACTGCATGGTGTCTAACCAGGCTACAGCACTTGATATGCTGAAGTGCAATATGTTTCCACAGTTCTATTTATAAAGAAAAGAGCTTAGGGGCATGATTTGCACTGCCAAGCATAGGCAGAAGAAAAAAAACTGCAGGTTCTCAGCTCCCATGTTTTCAAAACATATTATATTTTCATCCTGATACAAGGATGAGGAAAAAAAGGAGTCAAGATTCCACATCAGCTGAAGGATCAAGAAAATACAGAGCTTAAGGAATGTATTATATTCTTGTGGCTGGAGGTCTGAACGTGAATTGAAAGCAATTGACAAAGAATAGGAAAGTGGAAAGAGACTAAGACATGTATTTTTTTTACAGAATAAGTAAATGTTACCTGCATCTTCTAGACCTCTAGTAGGCATGATGATCTTGAAACCTCCTGTGAAAGAAACACATGCAGTCAGGAGAAAGTCTTAAAATTGAGACCTGACACTAGACAGAGTATTATAGTAACTTCCTACTGTACACAGCAGGAGACAGAGAAGTGCATTTACCCACCCACTAGCAATGAGCAGCACCTTTGTTCAGGTTTTCATCCCTGGGATACAAGATATGTGCCAAGTAGCAAATCAACACCCAAATCCATTGGTATTCCTTGAGAATCCATCTTTTTCTCCTCCAGTAAGAAGCCAAGACATGCCAAGAGAAGTCATTGTAAAGAATGCCTCCACTATGACAGTATTATTAAGAGCTATAACTTGCCACCTGCATGCATTACAGAAGAGAGAAGTCTTGAGGAGGGGCTTGAAGAAAGAAGACTTGAAGAAGCCTTTTTTCTTACGGACACCACTGAAGTAGTTCCAGGCCAGAAGTCCTTTCAACAGGTACCAAGAGGTACAGCAGCTGCAACAAAATTCCATATCTCTCCTCCATCTCCATTACGTACCCAGCCTCTTGCAAGAAACAGAAAGATCCTGGGGTTGGACTGCGTAGGGACATAGAGGGTGGGCTTAGGAAGATGAAAAAACATTAAGGGAAAGTTTTCTAGGTCTGGCAGGCTGTGAGTGGCAGAGAATCCAATCTGGAGGTACATTAGTAGCATCACTAAGTAGGTCTATTGAGTGATGCTAGAGAACAGAAAGTCCATGCTAGAAAGTCCTCTAAGGCAGCAGTTATCAACCATTTCTGGTTGTGAGCTGGAGTGACCCATTTCAGGTCAGAGGTGGATGGGTGGGTACTAGGACCCAATCGCCAATACCATTTCTCTGTGGCACCATGAGAAGAATGCCTGCAGTGGGTGCTCTTCCCCACAGCAGCACAGAAAAGCTGCTGCCAAAGACCTCTGGTACCAAATGTCACCAAATCCCACATCCAAGAGCCAGATATATTGGTTCCACAGGCCAGATATGGCCCACAAGCTGTAGGTTGCTGACCTCTGCTCTCTGGTCATATTCATAGGAACCAAAGCCCATGAAATACATGGGAAGACTTACACTGACTTCAGTGGAATTTTCACCTGTTCCCCCAACCCTCATTATGGTAAGAAATGTTCAGTAGAATAATGATTTTCATTTAATTCAAGTGTAAGCTGTGCAAATATTACAATCATATTTATTTTGATCCTTCAGAGATGGAGAACAAATTCCATTGCATTTCCATTTACCTTTAGAAGTAGATCTTTATGTTAAAATGGTTGGGGCATGGAGGTTGGTATAATAACTGTCAAGTAGAAGCCTTTACAAACATGACCTAAAAGACCTATGCTTTAGTCTTCTGAACAAAACCGACAGATAATTAAAGAATTTCTATTATATATGATAGAAAAATATGCAAAAGAAAAAAGAACAAATATGGTACTAATTTTCTGTAATCACACATCAACAACTGTTGCAAATATCTTTTAGCTAACATTACTTAAAATGTAAGCTAAGTGAGGCATGATCACTCTGTAAGCTAACTGAGGCATGATCACTCTTGTATCATCTATTATCAATTATTTGTTCAACAATCCAAATTGTATCAGCCTTTTTGTAGGTATGAGGACTTCAGTAGCCAATGAATTGTTGGATTAGTCTGGATGCATACAGACGTTTATTTCTATGGGAAATTTCCCAGAAATTTCCCGATAGAAATCCTTCCTACAGAGGGAGCAGTACAGATGTTCAGTCTGCACCTGCCCCATCTCCCCTTCTCTCTGTGCTTGCCTGAGACCAGAATGATTCCAATCTGGGGAAGGTAACCGCTCCCTTTCTCGGTTCCTGAAGGAAGTGAGGAAAGACTCCCCGTGCCTGTCCCAGACCTGCCTCCTCACTTTGCCCCACATCTCTAGCATTGGGGCAAAGCCCACAGCCCCTACCCGCAAGCAGGACAGTGCCCAGCTTGGGGAAGAAGCAAGGAGCAGTGGCTCTTTCTTCCTGGACCAGGCCTCTCCTTGGAACAGTCTGAGAGGGAAAAGGAGCAGTGCAGCATAGCTCTCAGCTCCTTCCCCAAGCTGGGTGCTTCTCTGGATCAGGGAAGGGACTGGAGGCTCTGCCTCACCACTCTGTTCCCTTCCTGAACCACTGTGAGAGAGGCGAAGTGGGGCAAAGCCACCCATCTGGAGCATCTGCTCCTTTGCTCTACTTCCAGTTTCAGAAAGTGGAGCAGAGACATTAGCAGGGTAAACCTCCACCTTCTCACTCCTGGGACTCTGGTGTGAGAAGTAGGTGGGAGGGCTCTGCTCTGTTCGCAGTTCCCAGGAGGTGAGGGGATGGAGAAGTTGGACAAAGCTCCTGACCACTCCAGAAACCTGGGACTTTGGTGTGAAGAGTGAGCAGGAGCTTTGCCCTGCTACCCTAGGGAGAGGCTCCCTGAATTCTGTTACCTGTCAGCTTGCTTCCCCTTGCCCCCTCAACTCAGCTGAGTGGTCAGAGTGGAGGGAGCAAGGGGAGGTTGGCAGGGAAGGGAACTGCTCCCTGCACTTGGCTCTCAGTGCTTATTTCTCTGGAGTTTATTGCTCCTGGGAAGCTCCCAGGTACATGGTTTACACGTGCGGCTGGACTCTAGCACGTTGAGCCAGGTCACAACAGCCCTGGCTGGCAGTGGATCCGGGGGGGGGTCAGCCTGCTAGCCTGAGGCAGCTTTGACCACGCTCAATGGGCTGTGGAGGGACTGACTGGGGAGCGAGGGTGCTTCAGCATGGGGTTAGCTGCCAGGCAGCCCCCGCACTGAAGCAACCTTGCGACCCAGCCAGCTGGCTCAGTGTCTGTACATGCGCTGCTGCATATAATATTTGTAGTATTTGTAAATACAAGTACTACATTGCTGTAATATTTACAAGTACTACCCTGCTGTGGAGTTTATTAGTTTTGTGCGCTGTAATAGGGGTGCATGTGTAGACGCTGAGAAGTTTACTGCACAGTTAATTAGTCAACTGTGCAGTAAATGTCTTATGTAGATGCAGCCAAGGGCATTCAGCTTTGATATGCAAATGAATTTCTACCGTACAGAATTTCTCTCATCTTGTCATGAAAATGTCATGTAGCTGGAGTAAAAAACTTTTCATTTCTCTAATTTCTTTTTCCACTAAAGAATAGGAGTAAAAAAAGTCATCGCCAGTTGTTTGAGATCTACAATGTTTCTGAAACTGCTACTATGGAGCAGATCCACAGTTCTGTATTAGGAAATGGAAGTTAGCTAAAAAAAAAAAACCTTCTCCAGACAACTCTAAATTGAATTTCAATTTATGAATGATAATACACAAGCAGGGAAGTCAAAGAAGAAATCCTTGCTGGCTTATGTACTATGAGAGCAGAATACGGGAAGAAGAGAAAATGGTTACTAAATGATAAAGGACAAATCTTTTATTCTACTATAAAGAAAAAAACTTTTTTTTCTAATTAATGGACAATATTGCAGAAATGGAGGAGAAAAATTCCAAATCATGTCCCTTAAGTTCCATATTCACCCTGTAATGAAATATGTGTAGCAGAAGACTGTCAGACTGTGGTTGGAACCATGATGGCAGGAACTATGTTTGGACAAATGATGTTGTTAATACAGTTTTAATAAGTTTTTCCATGTGGATAAGAAATCCTATATTATAAAAAAAAAAAGTCACCAAAAAATAGCTTTTTTGAGATCCACATTATTCCAAGACAACCTAGCCAATTCTTCATTATTTACAGTTCCTATAGACTAATTATGGCAGCTAACCAACTCAGCTAGTCAGAAATAAATAGTGTCAGAATGGGCTCCACCAGTTTTGTCAGGAAAACCATACTAGACAAACATGCTAGACAAACCATACTGGCCACAACAAAGTTTGAACACAATCCTGGCTAACACAGTTTAAACAGAAGTGTAAGTGGGGTTGAAGATGATATTTGTACCTTATTTCTTTCAGTAGTTTAAAACATCAGGTGTTAGTAATCTAAATGAAAGGATCTAAAAGTTTGAAACCTAGCTTTCTGTTTTTCACAGGCAACCCCTCCTCCCAAGTTCCTCATTGAGCAATGTTGTGCCATGTCAAGTCACTAAAGACTTTCATTTATCAACTGATTTATACTCCTACTTTGGTCCAACATCACTGATATATGTCTTTTCCCTATACTGCTCATCATAGAAAATATGTTCTCTAATAAGCAGAAACTACCAATATTTCAAGCTAAAGAACAGAAAATGCACATTTTCTTTAATGCCTTTGGCACAGCACTGCTTCCTTTGGAGTGATTGAGATGAGCCCACCTACAAGGAGGAGAAACTGCACTGCAAGCTAAATGGAGCATATCATTTGCCTTTAGTTGTGAAGTCTTCTCTGGAAGTGGACTGAGTCCAGGTTTTCCTATAGGAAAGTGGAGTTGCAGCCAGACCCTCAAACCACACTAATATGCTATCTTCTCATTGCAAACCGGCAGATTTTAGATTTCATTTCAATGAAAAATGTGAACATGAGAAGATTACTGGAAAACTGG